ATTACAAACTCCAAAAGATATCTGCTAAATCTTATTTATATCACACCACAGCTCTCATTACTGTTTGCATCATATCAAAACACTTTAAAAGCTATAGTATTACTTAAAACAGCTGTAAATCCACAGAACTTTCAACCATTAAACCAAAACTTATGTAGTTCTCATCTTTGAATATGTGAATTTGAGAGGCCTTAAGATGGAGAAGGCCTCAAAAATCAGAAGAAGAAAATTAAGCCTTCTACACACAATGAGCCATAAGATCACCTGTACAAGATGCATGTCATTTTTTTGGGTTGTTTAACACAATATCATTAACTTTCAGTAGGCCTATTATGGAATTTAAAAGTATTCAAGTAATTCTATAATGGAATTTCCTATATAATCTATATGACAGCACCCTAGACTAGACTGCTTTTACAGAAGACAACTACAAAGAAATTACAAGGTACATGACTGGCAAAAAGTACAGGGGAAAAAATAGTCCTGATGTTTTAATTCAAAACAAGCTGGAATCAATAAGAAGGAAAAAATTCAGTTCTGCTTTAGGAGTCCATCTACAGCTGGACCTACTACATGAAGCATTTAAGCATATACACTTTAAACATGCACCTGAAAGATCTATTAAATTAGGTGACTGAAGGGTTACGAAGTCAACAGTTACCTAATAATCAAAAAGGTCAGTTGTAACAGGAAAACATTTTTTCTAAAAAGTTTTTTTCGCCCTAATTCCTAAGTTAACAATGAAGAAACCCTTCTCTAGGTGCACCAAAGTAAACTATTTGTTTCTACTTAATTGTGCCTACTCACAGGGTTAAATGTCTGTCAAAAGATGACTTTTTATCGTAATAGGAACATCTACTATATGCAGAAATTAAGCCTTCCAAGAGATAGTAATGGGTTTAGTATCTCAGCTAATGTGAAAAAGGACAACTACTCTCTTGCTATAAATACTAACTGTAAGACAAGGCTGAAGTAGGCACTATGGCCATACAGATCACAGAATCAACTGAGTTGGAAAAGACCTCAGAGATCATCAAGTCCAACCCTTGATCCAACACTGCCGTGGTTACTAGACTATGGCACTAAGTGTCACATCCAGTCTCATCTTAAAAACCTCCAGAGATGGTGAATCCACCACCTCCCTGGGCAGCCAATTCCAATGCCTGATTACCCTCCCTGTAAAAAATTTCCTCCTAATATCCAACTTAAACTTCCCCTGGCAGAGCTGGAGACCATGCCCTCTTGTCCTACTGCTGGTTGTCTGGGAGAAGAGACCAACCCCCACCTGGCTACAACCTCCTTTCAGGGAGTTGTAGAGTGATGAGGTCTCCCTTGAGCCTCCTCTTCTCCAGGGTAAACAACCCCAGCTCCCTCAGCCTGTCCTCTTAGGACTTGTGATCGAGTGCCTTCACCAGCCACGTTGCTCTGATGTGATGCTAACACCCAGCTAAACTAGACCATATAATCTGTGTTGTTCTGGGGTACTTCCAGAGCCTTATACATTTAGAAAGAGAATGAAACAGTGTAAAAAATGCTACGAAAAAGCTGCTGAGGATTTGATATCAATCCTAGCTTTATCAGTTCTCACTGCATTCACACTAGTCAGCTTCTGCTTCATGGAACGCAGCAGCTCTGCAGACTACTTGGGAAAGCAGCACTCTCCAGAATTAAGGTAGCAAAACCACATCCAAATCACTGACTTTATCTTGGGATGACTCCAAAGAAAATGCAAAATATTTGCATACTGCATTAAATGTATTTGTTCTATCTTCAATTTACATGGAATCTCTTATCAGGTATTTATAAACATTACATTGTTACAGTAACTTCGATAGTTGACTGCCCAAATATTAATATTTTGTAACATTTGTAATACAGAAGTATAATTCTACCTGAAAAACAATGCACATACTTCATGTAATAAAACTTATATTTAGCCAATTTTAGAAGTTTATAGTCTTTTCTAAATGCATCAAGTCTGCTTCACTGTCTCTTCTCTAAACATGGTCAGGGATGATGTGTTCCAAAACTCATCTCCACTGAAGCTCTTCAGCACAGTGTGGATTATTTTAACCCAAGAGAACTGATCCTACAAAATGATATGTAAATAAAAATTCCAGATCACCTAAAGAGATAAAACATGGTAAACAATGCCTGTTTTTCTCTAGGGCTTGTAGATTATTAAATATTCAAAGATCAAATCCTAAGAGATAACACTGACCTCAACTACTGACAGTTTGGTACTCAAAAACAATTAAAGAATTAAAAAAAAAAAAGCTGTGCACAAGTATTTTACACTCAACTGATTTTGAAGGTGAGTAGAAGTAGCTAGTTTGCTTAAACAAATCAAAAGTTCTGTGCTCTAGGGAACCTACAATAGTGCTACTTGAAGCATCTACAACAGAGTCTGCACAGTATAAACCCAGGATTTCTACTTTGTTGAGGAAAATCCAGACATTTCCCCAGTTTTCCTAACACAGGAACTAAGGCAGTGTTCTGTGGAAGGCATGGTCATGAAACTAAAGGTTTTGAAATGAACAAAAGGAGAAAGATTTCTTACTATACCAGACCAGACTTTATTTTCCTAAGCTTAAAAGACACTATAACATAATACTCTAGAGCTGTATATAGGATACAATAAGCATTGTGTCAAACACATTTGAACTAAAAGTTTCAAAAATTAGGAGAACTTGCAAGTTAAGTAGTCATTACTCAAGATAGAAATATTGCTCTTAGTCTAGTAAGGACTCATAAGTATTCTTCACAAAAATAATGGTATTACTCACATCAAATCAAGGTTTAAATTACTTCTCAAGAACAATATTCCTTTTACAACAGTCTGTCTTAGACAATCACAGAATGGTTTGGGTTGGAAGGGGTACCTTAAAGATCATCTCATTCCAACCCCCCTGCCATGGGCAGGCATACCTTCCACTAGACCAGGTTGCTCAAAGCCCCATCCAACCTGGTCTTGAACACTTATAGGGATGAGGCATCCACAACTTCTCTGGGCAACCTGTTCCAGAGCTTCATCACTCTCCCAGTAAAGATTTTCCTCCTAATATCCAATCTAAACTCATACACTTTCAATTTAAACCCTTCCCCCTTGTCCTATTAACTGCATACCCTTGTAAGAAGCCCCTCTCCAGCTCTCCTATATGCCACTCTTTAGTTACTGGAAAGCTGAAGGAAGGTCTCCCTGAAGCCTTTACTTCTCCAGGTTGTACAGTCCCAACTCTCTCAGTCTGTCTTCAGACAGCTTAAGAAGAAAGTTATATTTCTCCATATTTGATCTGGAACAAAAAGCAGTCAATTTCCAGTGCTAGACCAGGTCAAAAAAGTAGCCATGTGGTATTCTGATCTGTCATTACTATTTGTGCACATCATCTTACAGGTTTGAAATAGGAAGTTTTTACTACTTAACACAAGCTCAGACTTCCCGTTACATGAAGAAAGCTTTTTAGCAAACAGAAAGACTTAAATACAACTAAAACTCAAACTTTTTTGCCTGGGAAGAAAATTGTACCATTGAGTTTATAAATACAAACATACATAGATATATACATATATAATATATATATATACACACGAGCACTATTTCTATGTAATGTCATCTCACATGTGGTGTGCATGGATACAGTAATTTAATATAAATTCATGAGATGCTAGATTTGTACCCAGATACTCACTAAAAAGGAGGTGCATCCAGAAATACATGCATATATACAAAAAAAGTCACAAAAAGATAATATCTACTTTATGTAAATGCAATTCTGTAAAGTAACTATAAGCAGGGAAAAGCACAATTCAATCCGACTGTTGGATCAATAAAATTTTCACAATTTTTACCTCCCAGGTACTGAGATAAATTTTGGGTTTAGACTCAGAGTTAGCATCAGTTAGGTTTCTTATGAGCTACAGAGCTCAGCAACATCTGTTCCTGTCCACATAACAAGCAATACTGCTACTCTTCACTGTACAAAAACTAGCATACCATGTCAATGTGGCAGATATTTTTAAGGATTAAAGTCATTCTTTTCTTTGAACATCTCACGTTGCAGCATGAGATGCTGTAAATTAGTTCTCAGCTCCACCTGAAGGAAAACTTTGGGCAACAGGTGAGAGAGATCCAAAGTGACTTAAAGAGAAAAAGTAAGTGGCAAGAAGTTACAGAAGAGGACAAACCTAGTGACGCTCCTGACAATTTCAGCTTTCACTTTATGCGCTTCAGAGCATGACTGTCGTTTTCACACCCCAGAAAGCTGTCACTGCTCAACTCACAGACCTTTAAAAGCACTACATTGCTCATGTTTATCTCTGCTCTCAGAACCCTTTGAAAATATGTAAAAGTTAATCTACTGTGTGAAGACGCGGGAGTGTGGCATGATAAGATATAAAAATTCTCTTTCTATAAATTCATTTGTCTCTTGCTTTGCCCATTTATTACGGACGTCTTCGTCATCTAAAGACACCTAATTAGCAGCCAGCGTCCCAAAATGAGACCCCGGCAACACTACACGCCTGGTCCGTACCGTACAGCGATCTACACCACGGCTACGGGCTTAGGGCTTAGAGTCACAGAATCGCAAAATCGTTAGAATCCCTTCCAACCCTAAGGAGTCTCTGATTTCTGCTACTCTAAGCCCCCAGCCCCGAGCCTGGGCTGTTCCCCCGTCCCCCGGTGGGACCACCCCGCTGGTCCGCGCCCCGGCGGCAGCGGCGCCCCCGCGCTGCCCGCGGCCCCCGCCGGGACGGGCGCGGCCGGGACCCCGGGCCGGGGCAGGGCCCCGCCTCGCCCCCGCTCCCCCGGGACACCCACCCGGCTCCGCCGCAGGCGAGGCGAGGCACAGCGGCACAGGGGAGGAAGGGAGGGTGCGGGGGAGAAAGTTGAGGAGACGCCTTTCGGCGGCTGCCGGCAGGGGAGCCCGCGCCCGGCGCCCATTCAAACAAAAGAAGCCCCTTCCCCTGCCGGCCGCCCCCGGCCCCGCCGCCCGACTCACTTCGCAAGGCCCCGATGAGGAGGCTGCCGTCCTTAATCAGCTCCTTGATAAACTTGTTCGTCCTCTCCAGCTCGATCTCGTGACACTTGAGGCGCTCCCTGAAATCCGGGCTGTCCAAGTAGGAGTCGCTGAACTCCAGCGTGGGCAGCCCCATAGCAGCGGCGGCGGTCGCAGCCCCCGGCCGGCGGCGGAGGCAGGAAGGGCGGGAGGGCCGCGCCGAGGGCACAGGGGAAAGCGGGGCAGAGGCGAGGCGCGACTGCCGCCTCCCTGGAGAGGCTCCCGACCCGCAGCACCGGCCCGTTGGCAGCGCAGGCGGCGGCTCCGGCCGCTGTCACCCAGCTACATCGCTACCCGCGGGGCACCGCGGGCTCCCAGCGCCGCCGCCGCTCCGCCGCTTCCGGCAGCGATCCCGCTTCCTCCCTGCCCGGCACTAACTCCAGTGCGAACCTCCCCCGTCCCGGCCGAGGAAGCCCTCCTCCTCCTCCTCCTCCTCCCGGCGCGGCATGCTCACACGCCGGGGACGCGGCCCGGCGGCGCCCGCCCCTCGTTCGCCACCGCCCCCTCCGCGCTCTGCCCTCCAGCGGCGGAGCGGCCGCGCCTCGGCCCGCTCGGGCTCGGGGTGAGGCGGGGAGTCCGCACGGCCCGCCGAGAGCCTGCGCTCGCCTCCTCCTTTGCCGGGGGCTTTGGGAGATCCAGAGGAAGGCGGGAAGGAGGATCCACCACTGGGGCAAGGAGGATCACAGGCATTTGGAAGGGTGCGCCTGGAGGAGGCCGGTTTATGTGCGGGGGTGATGCCTCAGGGAGCAGCCCGCTCTGCTGGGGCAGGACAGCTGCCAGCCCGGTGTCTTCTGCCTCAGCTGGAGGAACAGCGGGAGCTGCGGCCGGAGGGAGCCAGCCCGAGCGGGCCTGCTCTGGATAGGGAATGTTCCCTGCACCTCAGCGCGGCCCTTGGTCAGCCTGCCCGGTGTGCGTGCTCGGCCTCGGTGGGTCAGCGTTCCGAGGGAGGGGGACAAGTTAAGGAGAGAGCAGCCGTGCCTAAGGGAGGAGGAGAGGGGCAGAGACTTAAGAAATAGAAGAGATAGGAACACCTGTGGTCTGCCTTGGCGCTTGGTTGCAGTGAAGGGGATACAACTCGAGCCAAATCCATGCTGAAGAGGAACATCAGGAAACTGCAAACGCGGTTACTGCAGCAAAGTTGGGTTTTTACAAGTATGTGAGTGGGCTTATCTCAGTAAACAGAAACACTTGGGATGATTCTTGTGTGTTTATCTGAAGTGGTTTATCCAGACATAGTGTGTCAGTATGCAAGTATGTATACAAATGTACATATGGGTTTGAGGAGAGTCTCTGTAAACACACCTTCAAGTCAGGAATAACTCCCTTGGAAACAACCCTCGAGACAGGGCCATAAAAGTAATTGCACTTCAAGACAACCCACCACTTGCTAAAAATAGTTTTCAAGAAGACGGTGATGCTTCTCTGTTAGCCAAGCACACGTTCCTACCAAATCATTCACAGTCTCCATATTTACACACTTTAATGTGAAAGTGGAGGAAGGCTCAAAACTCCTGCTCAAATGAACTCTAAAAATGTAGTTCACTGACACATTTGTGCTTTCACACTTCTTAACTCTTCATCAATACTCGCTTCTTTGTGTTCACAATAGATTTTTGTAAGTATCAAAAATGTAGAAAAGACACTGCAATTTCTAGTAATATGGCCTGCAGAATTTGTTGAAGTGAAAAAAAAAAATTCTCAGTTTTTACAAGACTGAGACTTTCTCAGGACAGTCTCTGAGTTAGCTGTCAGTGTTGATAGACCCACTAACATCTCTTTTGATTCATAGTGATTGCAAAACTGCTCATTAACATGTTCCCTGAGACAAATCATTTTTCTAATAATAGGAAGAATGAGACTGGAAAGGACTGTTTATTTCCTTGCTTTTTCAGGCAGTAGCATGTAATTTCTCTTGTAAATTAATAAACTTGATTTGAAATCCAGTTGAACTACTGGGAGGATGTTCCAAATAGATTTTTTTTGCAATTATTAAAAGCCTATTTTTCAGTCTATATATATTCACAGAGTTATTTTAGACACACTTGTTCTTTCTTCAGTGTCATCTGTAACTGCAAAGATTCTTTGTCCTCTACCACATTTACTCTTTGATGTAGTTCTAGAATGCAATAATATCATATCTAAGTCTTCCATACAATACCTAAAATAAATCAAAGCTTTCTGTCATAAAATCAAATGCTAGTTCCCTTCTTTACTCTTGCAGCTCTTGTCTATATCTCTAAATTGGATTTCATCTTGCTTGACTGCAGTTTATTGAAATTACTTGCAAGACCTTGTTCAGTCACATTAATGACTATGTTACTGCACTAAACGCCTTTGATGAAGGTTGTATTTTTCTGTATCACAGCAACATTATTTATGTCACTTAGATCTTTCTTTTCCTCTGTGTTCAACCAGCGGATTTCAAAGTTAAAGCAGAAATATTTGTTGGTCCCAAAAACATGTACTTAGCATTTTAGTTCAAAGGAATTTTACTGGTAATCAGGATGACTCATTTCTTACTATATAATATTCTCATCTTCAGAAGTTCTGTAACCACATTGCTGCTTTTGGTATCAAGATCATGAATGGAACTATTAATGAGACCAATACTAATAGCAAACTCCCTCCAAGTAACTTACCACTATCCATTTAACTAGTTCCATGCTTCTCAGAATAATCCACATCTTTCTCAGCTGAACTGAGACTTGAATTTCCCAGCATCCATATGAAAATTCTACTAGTTCACATGTACCGCTATTCCCTTTTCCCAGCAAAAGCCTTTCTTTTTAAGGAAATAGATTTGTTGAGGATTGTCTTTGCTTCATGAAGCAATATGTGATCAATGAACACTCAAACCTTCATTATCTCCTACTGACAGAGAAAAGTTTTATACTTAGCCTATGAGCTTAATGGGCATTTATGGCTGCATCTGGAGGAGGATCTGGTAAATGAGGGATTTGGCACACCTGCAGAGATGTTAAGTAACAAAACAAGTCTTGATGGAAAGATAAATCTTAGTACATGTTTTGTGTTGGAGTTAGGTGGAACTTTGTAGTTTGTTGCTAACTAAGGAAGACAAGGTGTTTGAAGACATATGTGGGAAGTGTAAAAGGCCTATGCTTTATAGTGAGCAGGAAAGAACTGTATTTGGTTTGGTTTCTTTTTTCTTTCCCTGAGAAGATTCTAGTACATGGCCCTAGCAGTAGTTTTCAGAACTTCAAAAGATGAGAGAAACTGGGGAGAAGCCTAGACTTTACAAAATAATATCTTTCTTGGAAACTAATAGTTTGCTAGAAGAGTGTGAACCATATTGAAATACAACTTCATTAAACCCCTAAGTAGGTAGAAGCACCAGTTCCTCAAGTAAAAGGCTCTGGTAAATAAGTTAACCTGATTTTATTACTAGCTGTGAAGAGATGAATAAAAAGTGAGACACTTTTTTTTTCTGAATGCTGTGGAGCTTTGTCGTGTTTCATTAACTTCTGTGTTTGTTATTTTTAGCTTATTCTAAAATCTTACATGCTAATGAGGTCAGATCAATTATTGTGGATTTCTCCTTCATCTTACATGTAAACACTGAACTATAATTTCAAATCAATGGCCCTGGTCTGACTCTAGAGGATACCTGAAGCTTATTCTTACCATGGTCCTAGTATCTAGGTTGCCTGAGAAGAGGAAAGGCGAGGTGTGTATTGGTACTGTTTACTGCAGGAAATGTCCCCTACTCATACTGTGATGAAATGACTGTACATGCAGTCCCCAATGTTTATGGCTCTATCCTGCTCTGTTAGATGCTGTTAATTTAGCAGTTAATGCAGACAAGGACTGCCTCTTATCTGCTGGGGAATATTTTAGAATAGAGACTCTGCCAACTTCCCTGTTATTTCTTCTGCCTCAATGTACACAATTATGGGAAAATTGCTTATAGAGCTGTGTGGCATTGCTCTGTCTTCTGAAAATTGCAGATTTCCCTTGAGACACTGCAGGATTAGATGGAAAAATGCAAGAACACTGATGCTTGTAAATCCACTTGAACTGCTCAAGGGTACAAAATTAGCTCTGTACCTATATAGTAAGGAAATATTTATAGCATAGAAAACCTCACTCAAGCAATTATTTACAGAGTATTTGAATTTGTTTTAGCTCTCTAAAGATCTTGCTTTATCTAAGTTTCCCATTGGTTTCTTCATGGGAATTGCCAAGATTCCCAGTAACTTGTTTGGATAAATTCTATTAAAAGTTTTCAGTTTCTCCTTATTAAATTCAGATACTAGATGCTAAGCTTATATTGGCTAGCAGTGATAAATTTAAAAAAAATGAAAATAAATAATGAGGAAAGTAGGCCTAAGTTTTGTAATTCCTTACATGTATTGACTGAAAGTGATACTACTCTCTCTCTTTGGAATACAATCTCCATGTTGTTAGCTGATTGTTAAATGATACAGCTGCCAATGTGTTGTTTGTTTTGTTGTTTTGATTTTTTCACTGCAAGCTAACATTGTCAGAAGAGGAGAGTAGTTAGACAAAATCATAGTTTGGAAACCAAACCATGTAATTTAGTGTGTACAGACCATATTATACTGAAATATTGATCTCTGTGCACAAAGGTCGACTCATGTGCATTCCTATCAACATTCAGATTGTCATCAATAATTACGGATCAGTAACATTTCTTAAAAAAAAAATGTAGTTTTTAATACATGAGTTAGCTCCAAGTGGTTTGGAGAAGCTTCAAACAGCAAAGTTCAAAGCTAAAATTTAAAATCACGTTTAGTAACTCTTATGCTGTGTTTGCTTAAGCCTCCTGGGTACTTCTGTGTTGAATCTGAATATTCCCTAACTGGCTGTGGTTCTGCCTTCTGGTATGCTCAAAATAGCATTTACCTCAAGAAGTAGATGCCTGACACTATGTGAGTTACAGACACTGAGACAAGCCGCTCCCAAATCCCAGATGAGATTGATAGACTACAAGTGACTAAGCATATGAAGGCCTCTCAGCATTCTATGGGAAATAGTGGCAGCTTAAAAATCACAGCAGGGTAATGAGGACTGCTTTATATCTCTTAGTAACTAAAGCATTAGCCTACAGAGTGGGAAAGCTAAATGTTAGGTACTACTAAATGTAGTC